TCGGGGCTAGGCTCATTGGGTGTGGTGGATGCCTTAGGGCTGAGGGCTCTCATGGCGCAGAGAAGAGGCACAGAGCAGAGTTGCCAGTTGCTTCCCTGTTGCTCTCTTGGCTTAGCTACTTTAGAGGCCCCAGTCCTGTGTCCCTCAGCTCCTAGTTGTCTGCTTGGTGGATCCACCTTCCTTGCACAGCCACCCACTTCAGCTCACCAGAGGGTGAGGTGGGGTGTTGTACCTTGGTGCCGGAGGCGCTTCTGGGGACAGGGAACCTCTGGCATCCTGTGAGACTTCCATGGGCCCTGTACTGTGCTCTGTCCTGCTTCTCCACCTCTCCTGAGCTTGTTGAAGGTTGTGACCAGCACTTTATGTAGGACTCTCCTTCAGCCCATTCCATTTTCATGGTGTAATAGGAGGAAAACTGAAGTCTACCCAACATTACACAGCTGGGAATAGGCAGAGCTAGACTCAACCTGGCCTAGGTTGGCCAGGCCCCAGAGCTTGAGTAGGGAGTCTGTTTCTCCCTCACCTTCCTCCTGGGACCCACAGTTGCCCCTCCTCTTGAGAAGATGCTTGGCCTCACTTTCCACCTTGTGCTTAACTGACTGTCATTCCATTTGAAGGTTGTAAATGGGCCACCATTGGATCCATGTTATAAATCTAAGGGGCCTCATCCTCTTGCTTCTGCTTTCCTGGCCAACTCGTTCTTTGAGGACAAATGGTGTCACTCCCCAGGGATGACCTTGTCTGTTTTCCAAGGCAACACCCCAGCCGGCCCTGGCCTCTGAACTCTAGCCCAGTACCGCCACCTCTTCTCTCCCTGGAGATCTCCAAGGCCATCTCTATACACAGGGATGCACATCTCCTCACCCCAGCCTACTATCTTTACCACCTCCAGCCTGAGGTACACACAAGCTCAGTGTGGTTGCCTTGGTACCACCCTATCTGCTATCCCTTCCAGTTTGCCCTGTTTGGTGGCCTAAGAGCCCCACCTCACAGTCCCCTAACTAGAGGCAGCAAGGGGCCTGTAGCCATGGTGCAGAAAGGAAATGGCTTTATGGGCTGGGTTGGCTGGATGTGGGGGAGGGTGCCTAGGCTTGGGTTTGGGCTGCTTCATTTTGGATACAGATGGGCAGTTGGGTTTTGAGGGGGAGACATAGTGCTGAGGATGATATGCGTAAGGTGAGATTTAGAGAACTCCAAAAGCATGAGAAAAACAACAGTGAAGTGATGGGCAGCAAAGGAACAGGGTCAAGAAAACAAGCCCAGACTCCAGAGCCTGAGGATGCTGTCTAGCACCTGGATAAAGAGGTTACAAGGCTGCCCAGGGCATGAAGGGAAGGCAAGTCCTGGGGTTATGTGGGCCAAGGAGGGACAAAGCTTGGCGCTCTTACTTGAAGTAGCCCTGAGTGCTGGTATTCATGGCCAGGAGGCTGCTTGTCAGTGTCCAGCTGTGCCTGAGCCGGGTGGCTGGAAGGGTGTAGGCCTCCACTGTAACCTGAATTGGCCTTCTCTCTCGCAAGGTCTAGGACTTTTCTGGCCACCACGTCCTGTCCTCTACCGGTGAGTCACACACAACAGAAAGGGGCAGGTCAGAGGTGCCTCTGTCAGGGTGCCCATGACCAGCGCCATTGATCAAAACCACTCACCTTGAATTTCCAAGTCCTGCCAGTCTTGCTTAAATGGAATGCGGTTGACTACTGAATTGAAAGCCACACGCTCAATACAAAATATTTTCAAAGTCTGCTTTTTATTTACATGTGTTTGAATCAATTACATGCATGTTTTATTTTTAAACAAGTGATTAGCAAAAACATTAAAATTTTAAAATAGCAATTAAATATACAAAAATATAGCTTACAAAAAACTGCGGATGTTTAAAAATATTCTGCTGCAGAATTCTTAGTTTACAAATATGTCTATGAAATCTGAAACTCAGTATTTCATAAACTTTTAAAAATTTTTTTGAAGGAGTTATAATATCTAGTGAATAAACCCCAAAGACCCCAAAGGGCTAAACTGCAAGACTGAAGTGCCCCCTTTCCTAGCCAGGATCTGTCAAGAAACCCAGAGACAGTTACCAGGGGCACTCTCTCAGAAGATAGGCCATCACCAGGAGGGACTCGCTAACACTGGCCACCCTGCCCTTGCCTGTGTCAGCTTGGCCAGGGAGGGATGTAGATGGAGAGGAACAATGCACAGCAGGCCCAGATGCAGACCTTCCAGTCTGGACCTGGCACAGGGAGCTGAGAAGAGTTCCAGAAAAGCACAAGCAAGCCTCCCAGTCCTGGTGGGCCCATGTTCTGGGTCACACCATGTCTGAAGTAGCAAGGGTATTCTCCATGACCCCATGGCCACAGGCCTGAGGTCTGCATCTGTAGCCAAGAGTGCTGATGCTTGGTCTAAAAGTGGAATAAAAAGATTTGTCATGCAGCAACCTGGAAACAACATAAAAACAACAGATTAGCCAGGTATGGCACAGACCTGTAATCCCAGCACTTGGGAGGCTGAGGCAGGAGGATTGCTGTGAGTTTGAGGCCACCTGGGCTACATAGAACTTGTCTCAAAGAAAGAAAAACATCTACTGAACAAGCCCCTAGTTTTCTCCTGCCACTTTCCAATGACATTCTGTGGCACATGGGATCCTTCGTTAATCTTACTAAAGAGCCAAGACCTGGCATTTTCTAATTATCATCTGTGAATTTCACAATTTAGACCTGTATCTCTTTTAGGAAATTCCTATCAGCTCCAGGGTAGGATACTAACCTCACTTGGGCCAGAGATTCCACAAGTGCCCTGATGTGGGGTTTGCAGAGTTTCTTCTCAAGTTTCAGGTTGGAGCAGACCCTGCTGTACTTTTAGCCCAGTGGCCTGCTGCTCTGGGTGGCAGAAAGGCAAGTGATGGGCAAGAGACAGTGGCTGTTGGGGAGTGAGATACCAGCCTGTGCCTCTTCTCTGAAGGCTGCCTAGAGTAAGCTGCTTCAACTTAAATCACCTTCAAGGGCAAAAATGAACTTGAAAAAACTACTACTGAAATAGATTCTTGTCAAATGGAAAGTTAGCTGAACAAGGGGGAAATTCTGTAGGAAGCATTTGCTTCTGAATACACTTAAAAGACCAAGGGTAAAGGAGCCAATTTGTGTGAAGCCACGTGTGGACGTTCAAGTGTGGCCACGGTTGGTGAATGTGAATAGTGGGACACCTGCCCCACAAGACAGAAGCCTGTTCAAACCCCTGCTGCAGAAATACTGGCACCTAGGAGACCCTGACAGTTGCAGCTGAACATCACTATGGGATACTCCTGGTCCTGGAGCAGCTGGCAAGGGGAAGGGGTGGCAACTTGTCGGGATACCAGAAGAGGCTGGTCAGGGTGGGGAAGGGGCTTTGTGGAAGACATGGAAAACTAGTGGTGCTCTTGGATTAGCTGGGCATTTGGACTAAGGGAAGGATTGCAGTTTGTTTTGTACAGGAAACTAAAATTCTAGTATGTTGTAACCAAATAGAAATAGGCCTTATTCAAAGGCAATGTCCTTGCAAAAATATCTCCCTATCTGGGCTTTTTTACAGATGTTCTGATCTATGGATCATTCTATTTCCGTGCATAGGAATGTTTCTTGAATTCCTATCATGAACCAAAAGGGCGAAAGATTACATATAAACCTGTGAGTCTGTACATCTCTGGAAGGATACATGAGGAGTAAACTAACGGTGGTTTGGGAGAGGACTGCAAGGAAGACAACTATTTATAATTTGTGCACTTTTGTGGGGAATACCCATTCAAAAGATTAAAGGAAGACTCAGCACTAGCAACCAAATTAATGTGCCTTGTGGGCAGAGGCAGATGGAGGTGACCAAGGAAGATCAGGAGAGGGAAGGATGGGAACCAGTTCCCTGCAGCTCTTGAGGCTCTGGACGATGATGCTGTGTGGTATCAGCGGCACCCTGACCCCAGGGCTGATTAACACTCTTGAGCTAATCCTCTCAAGAGGCTGTACAGTCACTGTTACTACAGTCCCTGTGTGGTGGATAAGGAAATGAGGCTTTGAGGGGCTGACCTACAGAAAGGCACAAGGCAAGTGAGTGCCAAGAAGGTGATTCATGTCACTGCAAGTGCTTCTGCCTAGAGCTCTGCGATACCTCCTGTGTGCATTTCACCATTCCCAGAAAGCCTCTCAAAATAGTTACTCTTTCAAAGTAGAGCAGGGTCAGGCCAGGGAGACCGATATGCTTTGGAGTGGGGCTGTGAAAAGGGTCTTTATTAGTCAAGTCTTGTCAGAAACAATATTCTTGGTAGTGGTAGGAAGTTTACTGTATTCCTCAGCCAGACCTCCCCAAAGGCCACTTGTCCTTAGTTGGCCATTTCTGTCTTGCCCTGCTCCCTGGCTAGGCAAGCACAGGCCACAAGGACCTTATCTGTCAGGGACAGGCCTAACCAAATTATACTAGGCAAAGAAAAGCAGCAGATGCTGACCCAAGGGAATTGAATTAGACTGCATTTGTTTTGTTTCTATAGCCAGTTGAATTTGGTTGTGCCCCTGGCAACAACCAGATAATGATTTAGCCACCATGGAGTCCAGCTGGGGCACAGTTATGCTCCATTAACCCACAGCACACAGTGAGCTGCTTAAGACACTATAACATAGTACACCAACCAGTGGGCCAAGAGCAGACCAGAGTATTCACACATTTAACAACAGGTTGCCAGCAGCTCATGGATGTGGAAAGGGTTTGAGCTTGAGCCAAGAGGGTATAATGTATGTCATTCTTTAAAGAAAAAAATCTGGATGGAGTTTCCTTCAGATAAAAAACTTGTGAATTTAATCAGAATGAAGAGATGACATTAATGAAAGAGTCTGCTGTTTGCACATCCAGCGTGGCAGACACAAGAAAGGCCTGGCTTGGGGGTGTGGAGGGGCAAGTGTAGGGAGCAAACACACTGAAGTTGCATGGCTAAGAGCTGCCAGAATTGCTGTGAGTGATACTGGGCCTGCCATCTGCCACTGTAGGCTGCCACGCACAGGAAGAAGAGATAATGAGAAGAAATACTCACATCTCCAGCCGGTTCTCGCAGAAGGAACGCCTTCTTTGAAGCAGTCCACAGTGGATAAAGTGAGGTTAGTGGCACCTCGTCTGGGCACAATAGACCCTGAGATGGGGCCCACTTCAGAGAACAGCTCTGACCATCCAGGTCCCATGCCTGAGGTCCAGTCTGGCACCCACTGCCTCAGCCTGCCTGGAGCTGTGTTGCAGTGAGGTCACTTATTCTGTCTCTACACAAAGGCAGGGACTTGGTGAGGCTGTCTCCTTAGTTCACATGTCTGGGGGGACAGAAAAGGGCTGTAACTGAAATGCTAGAATCCCTCAGAAGCTGTGAGTGGCACTAGTTTGATTAGATCATAGGCATTCCTCCCCTGAAAGGAAAAACTCGCCTTCCTGTTAGAGCTCCACTAGAAAGGACATCTGTCCCAAGGCTGCCATGGAAAATGGTACATGCTGGCCATTAATGAGGTTAGCCCAGAAGCAAGCCACTTCTGACATTGGTCACTGAAAACATTTCACTGTAAACTGGGTGTTGCAGCATTCGGTGCACTCATGCTACAAACAACACAAAAGGAGGGGGAGAGTGTATAAAGAGTTCTCATGGGGCCAAACAGGCTAAGGCGTTTGTATAAAAATAGTTCGCACTTCTCTTGCCCTGTTTAGGAAGCAATCCAGTTGGCATACCACAAATAGGTTGCCCATAGGAAACAGGCAGTTTTGACCGAGTGGATTAGTAATTTTCCAAACTGGATTCTGCCCAGCACTTTTCTAGGCAAATGTGGATTGTCCTCATCTGACCCCAGCCACTTGAGCCAAGGACAGGTTTGCTCTCATTCTAAGATGGTAGAGGCTGGGTTCCAGAAAAAATTGCTGGAGACATGCCATGAGCAGAGCAGCAAAGCCCACTCCATCCTTTCTCCATGTCACGCAGACTATTTCTGGTGAAAAACTTCCCCACTCACATCTGTGGGATGAAGCAGAGCAAAGCAGTTGCTGAGGAAGCACTCCTGTGACAGGGAAGGGGCAGCAGGCTGTGGAAAAGAATGTCCTTTGTCACCCGCTGCTGCTTTGCATGGCAGATTTACAGTGTTCACAGGTCCTAGTCTGCTGAATCATTTCTAGAAAATCGGGGCAGAAAGAGCCAAAGAGCAGCATGCATTTCTCTCCTTTAAAGACACTTGTAGTCAGCGATCCAAGTCCAAATACTGAGGCACACACCAGTGGGGGAGGGGCTGAATCAGGATACAATTCTGACTGGGTCACTGGCTTTGGGCTTCTGAGTTACATAGGGATCTTATTTGGGATAAACTTTAAAAGTCACTGGCAGGCATTTTAAGTAGAAAGAGGCTAATAGAGGAAAGAACAGAGGGAAGAAGGGGAGACGCAATGGGGTCAGCATCCTCTTCATCCAGCAGGGCCAGGTGGATCAGCCTTTCTTAGGTGTGCCTCTCTGGGGCCACCCAAGGCAGACAGCAGCAGCTCAGCTACAGGGAACACTGCGCTTGTAGGGATGTGGGCAGCACTCTGGGACCCCCAGGTCGCATTGGGACAGTGTGGGCTTCTGATGAGTGTCACTGGTGAATAGGAAAGGAAATGACCAGAAGAAATGGCTTCTAATCAGGCCTTTCCAAGTACTTCTAATGTTTTCAGTTTGATTTGACAGCAAGTATTGTGATCTTGAGGGAGCAGGTGTGGTGAGAGGCACTGCTGCTTTGTTGTACCCAAAGCCCTTGCATTCCATGATGGCCTCATGAAAGGAACACAACCTGTGGGAGCTGCCTCACTAACTATTGGGAGGTTGTGCTTCAGTTGGTGTAACTGCTGGTTTTACTTGGCTCAGGAGTGCCAGGAGGTTTCTGGGGTCTGTACAGAAGCTTACCCGTCCTGGGTGTGGGTGTGGGGTCTGGATTTAGAGACCTTCCCTCAGCAGCCTTCTCTAACACCTGTTCATCTTCCCTTCTGCCTAATAAAGATGGACATGGAGGTAAGTGTCTGCTAGTGTAATGGAGTTAGCAAGAGACCTTCATGAAGTTACTGAAACCAAACCTGCAGGTTTATCCACTACTCTTCTGTTGGCATGGGGTGTGTCAGACTACTTTGATTGTCACAAGACCCAGATGTCTAGGTTCTCAGCCTGGCTGGCCCAAGAGTTCTCCATGAGGCAAAGGAAATGGCAGCTGGTGCTCCAGGTAGAGAGCAGCCAAGACAGAGACTGCTTGCGTTCCTCCTGGCTCCATGCAGATGTCTTATCCAGCAACAGTCTTTTCCGTACAGTGAGCTATACAATGTTCTCTGCTCCAGGAAGGGGTCCCTGGGGGGGACCATGGTTCTGCTTACTGTGCAACTGGGCCAGCTGCAGAACTGGCATGTTGCACAGTGGACACACTTTCCGAACCTCCAGCCACTTAATAAGGCACCTGCAGAACGACATGGCATAAGGGGGATGTCAGCCCCAGGCTCATGGCAGCCCCTGTCCCCATCTTGCTGCTGCCATGGCTTGTGAACACATCTGTGGCCCAAAGTCAAATGTGAGGAGTCTGGTCCCAAGGAGCCCCTCCAGAGGCGGAGAACGCCTGCCACCCTCTGGAGGAACCAGCACCTGTCTCCCACAAGGTGATACTAAGAAGCCACGGTGAGCCTAAGTGGCCCACTACTTGAAGAACAAAGTCCACTGATGAGGGAGGTAGGACATAGGAAAGATAAAGTTTTCTAATATAAATCCAAAACATAAAATTGCATGAAAAGGGGTAATATTACTGTGTTTTCAGGAAGGGGGAGAAGGCAGTCCCACACCACCATTTATAGTAGACTTTGTTATTCTGATTTTAAATAACTATGGTTCTGATGAAAATACATATTTAGGAGATAGAAGCTGTCATTGGAAAGTTCCAGCCAAACAGCTGTTTACAGCCTGGGCTCCAATGAGGTGTGGGCTTGGCTGGTTCTACACGAGCTGTGCTGTGTTAGTTCATGGTCTGCCTGCTCGTCCCTCCTAATGATGTACACACACCCTACCCCATAAGGTTCTGTCAGCTTTCTGCATTATAGACCAATTGTGAGGCCATCTGGCATTTCCCCAACGTCCATACTACATTGGCTGATATGCCTTCTAAGTTGGGTCACATTAAATAAACAATTCCACAATGATACTCACTTTCTGTGGAAGGCATGCTTACATGGACAAATCCCCAACTCATCTCTGGGCTTGAAGTCTTCTAGACACACTGCACAGAGCTGAAAGAAAGTCATAAATAAGGCCAAGGGTCTTTTGGGTACTTATCCAGGCACTGGGTTCTCATCTGGGCCATGTGAGGGGACTTACAGTGTTCCATAGTTCTTTACGTGAGGGCAACAGGCTGGCATGGCCACAGCCTGCTAAGGGTCTCACACCTGTTACTGTCGCATGGCTGAAGGGCAGTAGGCAGACGAGAGATGTGTGACAGGGTCAGGGTCCTGTCACACATGCAGGCTTTACCTTCCCCAGGGATGCACTGCTCTCCATGGTGCAGCCCTGGCTCCTGAATGCTCGATGCAGGACACACACTAGACAATCCTCACTCCAGTTTTGTGGGGCATCTTGCAGCGTGTTATCTGTAGTTCCAGGGCTTCCTACTGTAGCACTGTTCTTCTGTCAGTGACTTTGTCATATTAAAAGTTTTTAAAGGTTCACTAAATTAAAACTTATGAAAATATGTAGACAGGGCTATGATTGCTCTCTAACAGCTGGTCACAGTCTCTGCTGCTTGGAAAGAGGCCTTCTCTTCCACCCGCAGATGTTCAGTTCTAACATTACTTCCTGAGTGCTGACCAATGCCCTGGACTGTGCACTGTTGCATTTGCCCATTTTATAGATGTGGAGATAGAAACTCAGAGCAGTAACCATTTCAGCAACCACCCAGGCCTGGCTGGGGACCCAGGTCTGTTGCCCTGATGAACCATGGATCCCAGTCTCTTGCCCAATGGCTGCCTCTCCATGCATCCCTGTCCATCCCCAGTGTCCTGGTCAGGCGATCCCCGATTCTTGGTGACCTGGCTTCACTGTCACCACTTTCTTAACTCTACCATGTCAGCCCAGCTTCCTATGTTAACATATACCCATGGAAAGTTCCCTGAATGTTGGTCTTTCAATGGCCCTTCATGTACCGCAGACAGGATCTTCCCAGGAAGACAGTGGATGACTGTGTCCAGTCAGAACTGCACAAGGAGGAAGAGCAGGGCAGACAGATGGTCTGTTCCCTCAAGACACTCCTCAGAGTTCTGTCCCTTCATCTGTGAAGGGAGGATGCTACTGCTGTGCTCCTTACGACTGCCATCTGATCAGAGTGGAAGGAAAAGGAGTCTACTGATAGCTGTCTATTAATGCTCACATTTTGTGACAGAAGCACCATTTTCAAGCCCATTTTTTTGTTTCTGGAGGCAAGTTAAGAATAATCTGGATAAAAGAAGCTGCCAGTTTCCGTCTTAGGGTCTCTTTTTTGGGCCTCAGCTTCCCCTCTGTAAAGGGAGATGATGCTTCCCCCTCCTAGACTCAACAGGCCCTGTACTCATCAAGAGCCCTCACTCGAACCTTCTGACACAGGGTTTGGCTTGTCCTTTGGAGGTTCGGTACTGGCCACACCACAGGACAAGTTGGACACACTGCTCATTTTTATTTGCTTATTTTTCTAGATCCAAAATTATATTTGTAGTCTTTTCAGTATGGAGCTTGTGACCAGGCATGGTGGCATACACTTGTAATCCCAGCTAATCAGGAGGCTAAGGCTGGAGGATAGCAAGTTCAAGCCCAGCCTGGGGAACACAGTGAGATTCTAACTTAAAAAAAATAAAAGGACTGAGAATACAGTTAAGTGGTAGAACATGTGCCAAGCATGTGCCTAACATGCACAAGGGGTTCAATTCCTAGAAACTGGAAAAAACTGCAAAAAAGAAGGGAGTCTGATAATGGTTATAATGTGCTATTCTAAATAAACATTCTAAAATTACAGATGCCGTAAACATTTTTTTTTTGTACCGGGGATCGAACTTGGGTCCTTGCACTTGCACTTGTGCAGCAGGCGACGAAACCACTGAGCTAAATCCCTGGCCCCCATCCATAAACATTTTTTAAAAACCCTAAGTTCTGGCATGTTAAGTGGTAAAGGTAACCAAAAATTAAGAGCAATCACAAGACAGAGGCCTCAAATCCTGATTTCGTAGAAGTTCTTTGAGGGCCAAAGTCATTATACAACTTTCTTTTACAGATAAAATTATGCAAATGAACTTTACTTTTCATTATTTCAAAAAACAGATTATTTCTCCAGTGGGACTTCCCATCATCTTTAAAAAAAACCTTGAGATATAATTCACATACTATATTATTCATTACTTTATAAATAAGTATACAATTCAGCAGTTTTTAAATTCATTTAGAGCTGTGTAACCCACTGCCACTATCTGATTTCCCTATCCTCAAAAGGCCAATACTCCTAAATAGTCACTTCCTAATCTACTTTCTGTCTTGATGGATTTCTCTATTGTAGACATCCCATATAAATGGAATTATACTAGCTGAGTGTGGTGGCACACAACTGTAATCCTAGCACCGAGGCAGGAGGGCTGAGACCAGCCTGAACTCCATGGTGAGACCCTGTCTCAAAAAATAAAAATAAAATAAAATAAAATAAAAAGAACTGTACAATATGTTGTCTTTTTGTCTGGCTTCTTTCCCTTAGTTTATTGTCAAAGGACATTATGTAAATTACTTCTTTTTATAGTTGAATAATATTCCATTGTATAGATAACATTTTGTTTATCCATTCGTCTGCTGATGACCATTGAGGTTTTTAATCTTTTGGCTGTTGTGACTAATATAGCAGAATTATAATTTATAATGCAGCATTATAAACACTGGTATAAGTACCTGTTTGAGGCCCTTGTTTCAGTTCTTTGGCATATATACCAAGGAGTGGAATTACTGACTCATACAGTAACTCGGTATTTAACTTTTTTTTTTTTTTTTGAGACAGGGTCTCGCTATGTAGTTCACGGTGGCCTTAATTAAACTCACACAAGGGCCGGGGATTTAGCTCAGTGGTTCCAGTGCCTGCCTTGCAAGCACAAGGTCCCGAGTTCAATCCCCAGTACCCCCCCCCCCAAAAAAAAACTCACACAAGCCCAGCCTGGCCTTGAACTCACAGCAATCCTCCTGCCTCAGTGCTAGGATTACGGGTGTCTGCCACCATGTGTGGCTCTATATTTAACTTTTATTTTTTTTGGTACCAAGGATCGAACTCGGGACCTTGCACTTGGGAAGCAGGCAGTGGAATCACTGAGCTAAATCGCTGGGCCTATATTTAACTTTTTGAGGAGCCATCAAATTGATTTCCAAAGGGTCTGCACCATTTTACATTCCTACCAGCAGTGTATGAGTTCTGATTTTTCCACATCATCACCAATATTAATTGTCTTTTTGATTGTAGTTATGCTAGTGGATATGCAATGGTCATTAATAGATGACTAACCATGATGTACTTTTTGGCCATTTGTACTTCTTTGGAGAAATGTCTATTCAAGTTCTTTTGCCCATTTTTGGGCTGGTTTTTCTTTTTATTATTGACTGGTGACAGTTCTTTATATATTTTAGAAACAAAATCCTTATTTGCCAACTTATCTGACAAAGGTGTAATAGCAAGCATTTCAGTGCAGAAGGATAACCATTTTAACATATGATGTGGAGCAACTGAATCCACACACATCAAATGCACATGACACCTAAAGCACGAGCAACTAAGGAAAGAAAATTGATAAACTGTACTCCATCAAATTTAAAAAACATTGTTTGCAAAAGATCTTGTTAGGAAAAGCCTGGGAGAAAGTATTTGCAGATCTTTTTATTTTATGGCTTTTTATTACTGAGTTCTAAGAGTTTTTGGTGTAGTCTACATACCAGACCTTTCTCAGATAGAAGATATGCAAAAAAAAAATTTTTTTTTTTTTGGTACCAGGGGTACTGGGGATCGAATTCGGAACCTCGTGCTTGTGCAGCAGGCAGCGAAACCACTGAGCTGAATCCCTGGTCCCCTAAAAAAATTTTTGAGAGAGGATCTTGCTATGTAGTATAGCCTAGTCCTGAACTCACCACGTAGCCCAGGCTGGCCTCGAATTCACTTGAGGTGATCTTGTGACTGCACCCTCCTGAGTGCTGGGATTACAAGTGTCCACCACCATGTCCAGCATTTTTTCATTTTCTTGATGATGTCCTTTGGCATCCTCTTGATGTCCTTTAATTTGATGAGTTCAGTTTATGTGTTTTTCTTTGGCTATTTGTGCTTTAGCTGTTCTAAGAATCCACTGCCTAATCTAAGGCCATGAAGATCAATACACTTGTGTTTACTTCTAGGAGTTATACTATTAGCTGATATATCTGTCTTCATAAATTCAGACAAAATGGCAATGTGTATTAAAAAGCCATGATCCAACCATAGGCTGTCTATAAGAAAACTCACTTCAAAACTCTGTAGTTATTTAGGGAGATTGAAAACAAAAGAACCAAAAAAGACATACCATACAAATATTAACAAAAGGAAGCTGGAGTGGGTATATTAATATTAAGACAAAGACATCAAAGCAAAGAAAATTATCAGTGATGAAGAAGAATTTTTCTTTTTTGAAGAGGAATCTTGATAAAGCAATCACCAAGAAGACATGTATATACCTAATAAAAAAGCTTCAAGTGACTAAATAAAAGGAAAGACAATATATTCACAGATTGGAAGGCTCAATATGGTAAAGGCCAATTCTCTCCAAGTGGATTTATATATTTAATGTAATGCTAATCAAAATCTCAGCTCTTTTTTTTTTGGTTGATAAAGACAAGCTGATGCTGTAATTTACATGGAAGGGCAAAGGAACTAGACTAGTGCTATGGTTTGAATATACAGTTTGTCTCCACAAACACGTTGAGTTTAGTCCTCAGTGTGATGGTGTTGAGAAAGGGGACCTTTAAGAAGGGAAGCCCCTGGGCCAGGGATTTAGCTTAGTGGTTCCACCACTTGCCTCGCAAGCACAAAGACCCGAGTTCAATCCCCGGTACCCAAAACCCCCCCAAAACCCAAACAAACCAAACAACAATGACAACAGAAAAAGAAGGGAGGCCTCATAGGAGGTAAACAGATCATGGGGGAGTCACACTCATGAATGGATTAAAGTCTTTGTTGAGAGACTGAGTTAATTTTCTTGATACTGGAATAGGTTTTGCATGTGTGAGTTAGATTTCCTGACACTGGATTAGTTACCATGAATTCTTATAAAGCCCATCAGCTTCCAGTTTTGCCATAGAAGCACTCTTTGCACATGCTTGCTTCCCTGCCATCATGGGACTGCATGTGAACCTCCCCAGTAGATGATCAGATACCAGTGTCATGCTCTTGGTCCTCTAGCATGCTGACCCAAAACAAACCTCTTTTCTTTATAAATTCCCAGCCTCAGAAAACATACTGAGATAACCAAATTTTGGACAAGAAGAATAAAGTCGGAGAATGATACTGTTTCATTTTAAGATTTACTGTAAGGCTACAGTACAGTAAGTCCCTGACTTATGAATGAGTTACATTCCAGGACAAAGTAAGTTGGATTTGTTCATAAATCTGACAAGGTGAGTCTTATATATCTTTGACACAAATATACAATGTATATTGCTTGCGCTTCCTAGCAGTCTTCTCCACATCACCACTGCTTTTCCTCTTGCTTCCGGACATTCAGGGCTCTGATTGAGCACTATACTACTGTGCACTACCGCACTGTACAGTAAACACACAGTAGCTCACCTGTGACAATGTCTGGTAGACACGTGAGCTACTTCTGTGATTTGTTTACATCTATGAATGTTCGTAATATGAGGTCCATGTATATCTGTGAAAGTTCACAACTCAGATGTTTGTAAGTCAGGGACTTAACTGTAATCAGACAGTGTGGTACTGATGAAGGGATAGGCACATAATTCAAAGGAACAGAATAGAGAATACAAAAATAGAGCCACAAAAATATGGCCATTTAACTTTGATAAAGGTGCAAAAGAAATTCAATGGCAACAGCAACTACTCACCATAGCCAGAGCTAGGGGTACTGTGGTAAACAAATCAAAGACTAAATAACTAATGGCTAGATTATTCAGTGTGTTAATATATATTAGAATTTAATCTTTTCACTTATGGTTATCAAAAGGCCTCAATTAGAAAAATGATCGCTTTCTATATCTTAATGTTAATTTTGGCCATGTATCAAAATTAACTTGGAAAAAGTTAAAAGCCAAACAGTAAGTGATGCTTGGTTTAATAGAAGGTTAGGTCTAAAGTGCTATTAAACAGAAATATCAATTCTTTGATGATATGCAGAATGACCAAAGGAGAAGTAGATGATTTCGAAGTGTTTAATCATAATGTAGATAATTATTTTTATTCAAATAACTTCAAAAATTAACTTTCTTTGAAGAGACTAACAATGTAGCTTCATTACCTTTAGACCATGTTAGACATAGATTTTATAATGTACAACTTTCCAAGTCCATTCTTTAAATACCAATTCAAAAATTCAGAAAGGCGGGAAGAGAAAGGGTAATAAAAATTAAAATTCTGAATCTCTGTAGTCATAGGCAACAAAAGGAGTAAAAATAAAAGGAATTCTTATAGACAATGTGGTCTTAAAATACAGAATAGGATATACACACTCAGGTTTGTCTTTAAGTCACCTAGGAACCAAAGCTGCAACCCAAGAGCTAGACAAGCCCAAGGGTGTTATCTCTACATTATGTGTGTGTCCTTTTCCCCTACTCTATCCCTCTCTTCTTCTCTTCCTCTAATCCATACTCCATAAAATAACAATTGCCTTTTTTGTGCCATTGATAAGGGATACTGAGAACATTTTCAAGGGTGAAATGAATAAAAATTCATCTTGAATACTAATTTATATCTTTTCCCTTTTCAGACAACATGGACAGCAAGAGGCATCCCTGCTGCTATAAAACCTTACCTTGGAACCCTCCCTATTAGAAACATGAGATGTTACTCTTTTCAAACCCTCACATAACTGATTTTTATGTGACTTCACCCTCAAATAGTCTATTATCCTGATGAAAATAAACCTATTTTTTCAACTTCTGAAGATAAAGGTATTAAAACACACCACAACATAATATTTGGATTAAGAAATAGCTCAAGAAAAGATTAAAATACTGTACTTATAAGCAACCTACCTCATGTAAATTCAGCTCTTTCACTTTCTCTTTTAATATAACCTATAAAACAAAAAAAAAGTATATTCTTATGCCCATTTCAATCTGCAACTTAGAACATTTCCCCTACTCACCAATATTTTTCTTCTATATATATTTCTCTCAAGTTCAATTTTGGGGAACATCTCCTTTACAATGAGGCAGAACATTTTAACAACATTCTTTTAACTTGAACAAAGATGCACTCTCTGAAAAACACTTTAAACATCTCTTTTGAGTAGATTAAAACTTGAGAAAGATATTAACACATGCTCATCTGGACTGAGTGATAAATATGAAGACTGGCTGTCTGATTCAGTTAAACAGCACTGGCCAATGGGACTGATTAGTCATTTATAAAATATTAAGTAAACCCAATCTTAATTTTGGACATTTGCTTATTATACATCAATGTTTTCAGCAAATTTTAGTTCTGTCCAGAGTTATATTAAAGGGCTAAAAATTCATCTAGGTTTGTCCTTAACCTGATTCTGTGGTGACCAGATATCAGTTAAAGGGAATGCCAAGTGATAATGAGGAAAGAAAAATTCTATTTAAAATTTTCTTTTTTTGAAAATAAACTTTCCAGAGAGTAAACCTGGCTTAATAGTTATATTTCATCCTAATATGAAAAAAATTTCTCTTGTGATTTTTGTTCCATCAGCCAACTTCACCTACTGAATGACCACCAAAGCCAATTTTACTTTCCAGTTAGTCTACACACAAACATGTATGTTGTCAAGATTATGGTAGAACTGAATCAGAAAGATCCAGTCACTTGGAAAACTATGACATTCAATGCTAATTCTGAGTCCCACATGAGATCTATGAAGAAGAGCATGGGGTTAACCAAAAACATCAGTATGTACATCTAGGGAACATGTCAAAGAGCTCTGATTCCAAAGGCATATGGACAAAACATGGACAGTAAGATACACAATCTTAAAATAGTGACATAGTCCTGTAATATCAGTGCCAGCAAGATTAAAGACCCAAATTAGCAGATGCGTCTCCTTTGCCTGACCAAAAAAAAAAAAGGGCAACAAAAATTTATGCTTAAGGTAAAAAAAAAAAAAAAGGAAAATCTAGGGCCATTGTTTGGTATCAGTGGTAGAATGTTAATGAATGACACATGGAAGAAAAAAAAACACTTTTATTTGGCCTTCAAGAAAAAGTGCTTATTGAAGAACCAATCAGTGAAGGGCTAATAGCCTATGAGCCAAGTTGGTAGACTTCTAATGTGTGACCTTAGCTAACATTTCAAGTAAAAAAGGGAGTGGATGAGATCATTGTACCACAGCTGATCATTTCTGCAGAACTGCTATGTCTTTAAATGGGGGTGAGAAAAATTCACTTAAATGTTAATCTCTAAACTCTTTAAAAGTAACTTTCAAGAGTATAATACACAGCATTTCTCTTTAGTAAAATGTTGGCTCCAATTGTCTATTATTCTATCACCTAAACTTTCTATTGTCTCAACTAATGCTAATGAAAGAAAAGAATATGTAAGAAAATGAAGTTGATCTATTTTACTTTGCAAATTAACATGAAATGCTGAAATAAACATTAGTAATTCCAGTCCTAGTTTAAAATACAAGTGTTGGGGCCAAGGATTTAGCTCAGTGGTTCCACCCTCTGCCTCACAAGTGCAAGGTCCTGAGTTTGATCCCTGGTACCAAAAAAAAAAAAAAAAAAAATGAGTGTAGCCCTCTGCTTCCTGTCCACAATGAGATTCCCTCCACAACGTACCACCATCTGTACCCTGCATAGGCATCCTTCCTTTAGATCACCAAAACTGTGAGCTAAATGCACCTTCTCAGGTAGTTCAAAAAATGAGTGGAAATCTTAGTTTTTAAAGTTTTTTGGGAAAAATATGATCAAAGCCAGTATGAATTAAATTTCTCACCTGTTTGTAGGCATAAAATTCTTTGTGTGCTTGATGTCTTAGCCTAAAAGAAATGAGCAATGTTTTTATTAAGATTCCAGTAACTTAAAAAAATTAAAAACTGGTTTTGGGTATTAATTTATATAAGGATAAAGACTGTAGTCTAAAATCCACAATCTTTATCCTTATACCCAAATGATGTATTTTTTACTATGTTATGAAAAAGTATCCAGTGAACCATGAAATATTAGCAAAATTATAAATTCTAGTGAAATTTCACTAAGACAAAATCTCAATACAACAAATATTGTAAAGGTGACTGTTATTTTTATATTGATGAAGTCTACTTGTTTCAATATTTAATATAAATTTAAAATTTTAAATATATGAAGATAAAAATATGGTGATTGTTTAAATTAAAAAATGTATTACAGTGAAAGACACACTGCCATCTATCCCCCTCATAATACTCCCCTTCTCTTCAAACAGTTATCCTATCATTCTTGGCAATGTGTCTGCTATACTTTTTGTAACATATATCCAAAGTATACAGCTCAAACATTTAAAAATGCATATGCCAGTGTAATTATCAGTTATGTTAAGATGTAGTACATTTTCCAGCAGCCTGAAGTCTCTGAATGACCCCTCCCCATCAATACCCACCTGTAGGTTACCCCATCCTGACTTCTCTCACTTGAGATTATGCTTGTTCCTGGACTTCACATAAATGGTCCTTTGGAATATACTCTTTCATGTGGCTTCTCTCAGTCTACAATCCATCAAGAGATTCACCCACAGTGTTGTAGTAATTTGACTGATATAATATTCCATTGTATAAAACAATTTATTCATTCTACTGTTGAATAAAGTTGCTACACAAATTCTTATGCATCTTACGGGACATGTATATTAATTTTTTTTTTTTTTTTTGGTACCAGGGATTGAACTTGGGTCCTTGCGCTTGCAAGGCAGGCGGCGGAACCACTGAGCTAAATCCCTGGCCCTATGTAAATTAATTTTTGTTGAGGATATAAATAGAATTACTGGTCCAAAGTGCCTGTACCAATTTCTACTCCTGGGTGGAGTTATTGAGAATTCTAGTTTCAGTTCGTTGCTTTAGTAGGTTCAGTTTTAAATTTCTTTCTTTGTTTTTTTTTTTTTGAGACAGGATCTCACTTTGTCATGTCCTTGAACTCACTATGTAGTCCAGGCTAGTCTTGAACTTATGGCGATCCTCCCGCCTCAGCATCCTGAGTGCTGGGATTACAGGTATGTGCCACTATGCCTAGCTTAAAATTTCTAAACATTTAAATGTAGTCCAATTTATCAACTTTCTCCAATTAGATTAGTTCTTTTGTATCCAGCTAACAGAATGTCTGCCTAACCAGGTTGTGAAGGTATTCTCCTGGGTGTGCTGTGAAAACAATTTGTTGTATACCTGTCACTTAGGTCTGTGATTGATCTGAAGCTAGACTTTATATATGCTGTGAGGTAGCAGTCTAGATTCTTTTTTATCCTTGCACAGATTTTTTTTTCCTGATACTAGGACTTGAACCCAAGGGCTTCCTACTGAGTTACATCCCCAACCCTTTTTAAAAAAATATTTAATTTTGAGACAAGGTCTTGCTCAATTGCCCAGGCTGGGCTTGCATTTCTGATAGTCCTGCCTCAGTCTCCCTGAATGTTGGGGTCACAGGTATGCACCACCATGCCCAGCTTATCCCTATACAGATTTTCACTTGTTTCACCATCATTAAAGAGCCTCCTCTCCCCACTGCACTGGTCTAGTGTGAATCAGATGTACCCAGTATGTGATACTGTTTCCAGAGTTTCTGTTCTGCTCCACTGGTCTATATATTGGTCTGTCTTTGCACACTGGTTTGAATAATGTGCCTTAAAAAATTCATGTCCAGTTAGAATCTCAGAGTGTAACTTTATTTGGAAATAGGGTCTTTTCAGATTATTAAGATGGGTTAGGCTGGACGCTAAAAGTGACTGAACTGATGTCCTTGGCAGAAGCAAAAACAAAGGCAGGAAAGAAGGCCATGTGATCACAGAGGCAGCCACAAGCCAAGAGCTGCTGGTGATGAGCAGAAGCTAGAAGAGATAGGGATCTTCCAGAGACTTCAGGAACATGGCCCTGCCAACTCTGCGTTTTGGTTTATTTTGTTTTTTTTGAGACAGCCTTCCTATGCGGTCTGGGCTGGCTTTGAACTCAAAATCCTTCTGCCTCAGCCTCCCTGATGTTAGGATTAGAGTGTGACACCATGCCCAGCTCTTGCCGACATGTGTGATTTTGAACTTCCAGACTCAAAACTGTAAGGGATGAAATTTCTCGTTTTAAGTCACTTGTTTTGTGATACTTTGCTACAGCAGCCCTAGGAAATGAATGTACCTTTTGCTAATAGTATGGTATTAATAAAAACTTATTTCAAAATAATTTTAGATTTACAGAAAGATTGCAAAATGCAGTAGAGTTCACATAACTTTCCTAATGTTCACATCTTATAGAATCATAGTAACATGATCAAAACTTGGAAATTAAAAAAAATAAATATTTATATTAGTACAGCATTGACATACTATTTTTCTTTTGAGAGAGAGAGGCAGGGTCTCACTATGTAGTTCAGGCTGGCCTCAAACTCAGTGATCCTCCTGCTTCAGCCTCCCAAGTGCTGGGATTACAGGTGTGCGCCAACGCGCCATGCTGTTTTGTTTCTTTTTTAAGAGACGGGGTCTCACTATGTAGTTCAGGCTGATCTTCAACTCACTATATAAACCAGACTGGCCTCACACTCAAGGTGATCCTGTCTCAGCCTCCCGAATGCTGGGATTATAGGCATGCGGCACCATGCCTGACTGATGTACTATTAAACTACATTTTGTTTCACTCATGTCCTCTCTTGTTTTGTAATTCAGTCCAGGATGCCACTGCACATCTGGCTATGTCTCCTTAGCCTCTGCTAATATATGGCAATTCTTTAGTCTCCCAAGAAGTTAGTGCATTAAGTGTGATCACTTGGTTCACTGGGTTTCTACAATACAAGGTTACTATCCTCCCCCCCCTTTTTTAAATCTGCAAGTCTATTTTATTTCCATTAGAAAAATACTATCTCTATAAAATTTTGGTCCATTTTTTCTCCTTTACCTCTATTACTCAAGTTTGACTAATGTAATTTTACTCAAATAAAAGCATAATCATATGTCTAACACAAGAACTAAATATTTTGCCTGCTAAATTAATAGGATTTAACTGAATTAGGTGTGCTCTGTATTATTTCCCAGGGCCAACTCCTCCTTCCGCAGGCTCTTTCCCTTTCACTCTATGACTGTGATGTCCCTTCCCTCACACTGTGCAGCATGAGTGTGCCTAAGTGTAATTCACCCTGCAGCAACTGCACTATCTTCAGCTCATGTCATATCTCCCTATGAGATGGAACTGCCATAATGTCAGATATTTTAGTCACACTTGCCCTTTCCAATATCAAGTTATAAAAATTAAGACACTGATTTGAAGCCATGATGGAAATTTGCAAGTCACCAGCCCTGGGCCTGCTCAGGGCAATGCTGTTGTGAGAGGCCCAGTGACAGCCACTGCTTCAATCTCAACTCGGGCTCCCATAGGCAAAGCAGAGACCTGGTAAGCTGCTCGAGCAGGAAAATTACTCTTGAAATACTGTTGGTAGACTTCATTGACAGTACCAAAATCGTTTACTTCAGCCAGCAAGACAGTTGTTTTTACCACATTGGTGAAGTTGTAGTTGGCCTCTTTCAGAACTTCGCCTATGTTGATAAGAGCTTGTTTCATTTCTTCTTCTACCCCTCCTGGCACAAGCTGTCCACTTGCAGGGTCTCTGCCGACCTGTCCTAATATGTAAATGGTCTTGTCCACGAACACAGCTTGACTGTAGGACCCAATGGCCTTCGGGGCTTTCGCCGTGCCGATCACCTTTTTGATCAGGGACGTCATAGCTAACAGTTCTCACACTCTGTTCCTCACTGAGAAGTAAGTCCTAGCTCTAGCCCCGACAGCTTCTCCCCTCACTGATCGAACTGCCCTATCTGTCCCCTTTAAGTGATGAACATCATGGAGGAGATGTGTTGAAACTACATAATATCCTACTTTTCCCCTCAAGCTTTTGTCCATTAATTTTAGCACATAACTTGCTTGCAACAACTACTGTAGTGTTTCCCTAAGGATAGTTTTGTAGTTCCCTAATCCTTGTGTTAATTGGAAATCTTCCCCAAGAAAGAGCTGTCTCCTCTTCTTGGATCAGCATGGACTCATGGATATTTCAGTCTTACCCATTATGATCATTATTTGTTGCTCACATTTATTTAGGCTTGGCCTGTAAGAGACCCTTCTGATTGACTCGGGTGTCCTCACATGTCCGCATCCTTTGTTTTTCCTTATTTAAATTGGGACCAAAAGATCTTGCGGGCTCATTTTGTACTTTCTGTGCCCCAGCCTTGGAATTACCTACTTCTTTCAAGGAACTTTAATAACTTTTTATTGGAGAACAGTGTTTAGAAGCTAAGATCTAGGCACTTGCTGAATACCACTCTGTTTTAATCAGTATAGCAGGATTGGTTAGTGAAAGTCTTCAAGTTTTGTTCTTAATGACTTGCTTGACTATTCTTGGCCTCTGCATTTCCATATAAATTTCATAAGCTTGTCAATTTCCTCAAAAATAACCTGTTGAGGTTTGTGTGAGATTGTATAGCATTTATAGATCAACTGGGGAAGAAATGATGTCTTAATAAAATAGAGTCCAATCTATGGATGTAATATATTTATTTATATCTTTAATATCTTTTATATGCTCCTAAGAATATGGTAATTTTTGATTCTACTATAAATAGTAAATTTTTGTGATCATTTCATGCTACTGTGCAGAAAAAAGCAATTTTTGCATATCATTCCTGTATCTAATGTCTTGCTAATTCATGTATTCAAAACCGTTTATCACGGAAACCCCCTCCTCTTGGGTAGTACTGGGGATTAAACCCAGAGGATTGAGGTGTGTCCTTAGCCCTTTTATTGTCTTAAATTTTGAGACAGGG